GAGCAGTTTCTGTCAAGAGTTTTCTCAGCCCCACCTACCTCACAGGGTGTCTGTTGTGGGGAGGGGAAGGGAAGGGAGTTTGTAAGCCGCTCTGAGACACCTTTGGGTAGTGAAGGGCGGGGTATAAATCCAATCTCTTCTCTTCTCTTCTTCTCTACATAGTTGAGATGAATTAGGAAGGGAGATGCACAGCCAGTATGAAGTACATTTTAGAAATTGTAGAAATTGGATGGGAGTTGCTTAGGTGGTGTTAGCTAAAATACTATTGCAAGGTCTGTGTGATATAATAGGGGACTGTATCACATTTTCAGACATTCTCTGTCTCTCATATACTCTAATTGTTTACCCCCTTCCTATAACAATTCCTCATCAGTCTAACAGAGTCATCCCACTCAGGTCTATTCAAGGGGTCTTATTTCCAGGGAAGTGTCCTCAGGATTGGACTATAAAGAGCTCTATTCAAATCCTTAATCACTGAGCTCACTAATACCTTTTCTTTTAGGTCCCTAGACCAATTTGCCAAACTATGAGTAAATTATTATTACCCTTCTGTCACATGGCTCTTCCCTGATTGTGGCTCCCAAGAACAGGTTGGAGAGGACTGCCTGGGAAGCACCCACACAGCAGCCTTGCCTACATAACACCATGTCATGGACTCAGATGACTCAGGTTAGTCTGATCTCAACAGATTTTGGAAGCTAATCAGAGTCAGCTCTGGTCTGTAGTTGGATGGGACACCATAAAGGAAGCCCAGAGTTGCTATGCAGAGGCAGGCAATGGCAAACAACCTTTGAATGTTTCTTGTCTTAAAAATCCTACAGAGTTACCATGTGTTGGCTATGGAACTAGTTTTAAAATTGTGAGCAGACAGACTTTGTTTTTTAAAAAATAATTATAGAAACTATTCAAATATAATCTCTCTTCCCTTAAAGAAGGAAGATAGAAAGAGAGGCAGAAAAACTATAGGAAAGAAGCCATTAGAAGCCTCCCTTTCGCTCCTTCCTGCTTTTAGGTGGTGGTGGAGGAGGCAAAACAGAGCTCTGAAATGACTGCCCGTGCTTTTAAAATGAGCAGTAGCCAGCCGGTGCGGGGGGGGGGGGGGGGAAAAAGAGGGGAGTGAGAATGGAAGGAAAAACAAACAAGACCACGAGACAGAGCCCTGAGCCAGCCCAAACCTTACCTTCCAGGACCCTCGACTCTTCTGGGCTCTGAGAACTGCTCAGGCTGCTCCTGCTGCAAACAACAAGGGTGGGACTGGAGGGAGGAAAATCATCACTCACCAGTGCACACTAGAGGGAACTGACACACTAGCCCTTGTCTCTATGGTTTTCACAGCCATAGAGACTTGGAGGACTAAAATGCCAGAGTGTCACTCTTCCGGCCGCCATTTTGTCCCCCAGTGCCGGATTTCAAAAAAGCGGGTAAGGGGGTTGAAAATTGGGGGTTCCCCCACCCCCAGCAGGGGCTTGGCAAGCCTACCTGTTACAAATTTTGTTTGTCATTAAGGTGCTGCTGGACTCTTGGCTCCCTTTCACTAATAAGAAATACAAGCTGTACTGTTAAGTTTCTTCCCTGTTAGAAATGGAAAGGGGGTCCAAATGCCATGGGACTCTCTCTTTTTCTCTGATGTGCTCTCTTTGGCTCTTTCCCGCCCTCCCTCCCTCTAAAGAAAAAGTGTGCTTGCACACAAAAACTATACCTGGAATAAAATGTTGCTGGTCTTCTTAAAACTGCCAGCAGACACCATCCCCCCCCCCCGCTCTTTCTCTCCCCACCCAAAGGAGGAGGAGGAAAGGAAGGCGCGCTCAGCCAATCCTCTCAGCCAATCAAAGGAAGGCTTTCGTTCTCTCCTCTGAAGCAGGAAATAGGAGAGACTGGTCAAAAGGAGCTGTGATGTAAGAAGCAGGAAGCAGCACAGAGTCAGTTGCTTCCAGGGGCCAAATATGGTCCATGGGCCGTATGTTTGACAACAGTGTTCCCTCTAAGCTGTGTGAGCGAGCTCAAAGTTTTTTAGCCCCCGACTCACACACTTTTGTCTTAGCTCAGGAAGGATGGCTCCAAAGCAAACTAAGTTTATGCAGTAGTCAAATTGCTTGCTCACAACTTTAATGCCAGTAGCTTACAAAGTAGAATCTTTGCTCACAAGACTCCACAGCTTAGAGGGAGCATTGTTTGACACCCCTACTGTAGAAGTTTTAGGGTTTTTAAAAAAGATGTATTTATGATTTTTACATTACAAAAGAGAAAAACAAAATTACAGTATATAAATCAAACTTTAGAGTTTACATTAAATATTAATCATCCAAAGTACAGTCTAGTTTTTCAAGTATGCTGCAATACTAAGACTGCATTTTATTGGAAAGTTTTAAAAGAAATCATAAGCTTTAACCTGTTGTCTAATAAGATGGTTTCTTGAACACATTTCAGGCTAAGCTATTGATGCAACCTGGCTAGCTGACAAAGCTTGCCAAGTTCATCTTACTTTTTTATGGACTTAAGATACCAACATTCTTTGGAGGGCAAATTGTGTAACCAAGTATGTTCCCACTCTAGGTGCAGTCTTAAAGCTGAGTTCTATAATACACAACTTATTTATGCATATGCCTAAAATTTTTTTCCAAGCATATTATTCAAATATGAAGTTTCTTCCCTGCTCTTTGACAATTCTGAAAATTATTAGAATTGCATATACACTGAATGTACTCCCAGGAGTTATAATGAAAATCGCTGAGAATCAGTTGCACAAGGTCATTTTTAAAACAGCGAAATACAAATATTTCCTTCTAGTTTATACTGTGGAATATTTTCTTGCTAAGACTACAATGCCTGCACTGTATAAAACTCTCTTCTAATGATCCCTTACAATATTCTAAACAAACCATATCCAAACTTTAAATAATCTGCACGAACATTTCCCATTCACATGTGCTTGGAATCACTTGATTCTGCACAGATTCAGGTGGGTAGCTGTGTTGGTCTGAAGCAGCAGAACAAAGTTTGAGACCAGTGGCACCTTCAAGACCAACAAAGTTTTATTCAAGGTATAAGCTTTCACGCAAGCACACTCCTTCAGATCTGAAGAAGGTATCCTAAGAAGTGTGCTTGCACACAGAAGCTTATACCTTGAATAAAACTGTGTTGGTCTTAAAGGTGCCACCGGACTCAGACTTTGTTCTGTTGATTCTGCACAGCTTGCCAGAGGACCAGCATCCATTACCAGATGAAAGTATTAATAAATTTGTTTGAAAGAGGCTATTGACAGGAATTATGTTCCTGTTAACATTAAGATGAACACATGGCATTACATTAGAGAACCTAAAGGACCATTTCGTGGTGCAACTGAATTGTGAGAAGCATATTCTTGTGAGTCGGTACTTAGAAAATAACAACCTGAACTACAAAAGACACATCTGAAATAACTATTAATTTACTTTCCTAGACATTTTATGGCATGAAATGACTGAGTGCTTTTTTAAAAGTAAACATGACTGCTTTGCTTCACCTTCTGAAAGCACATTCCTCTGTAATTCCAGGAGAAGACTAACCCAGATCCTAAATCATATCCCACTAAATAACAACTATGTGACTGGAGGCAGGCCTGTAGCTATGGTGGGGCTTCTTGGGGCCCAGCCCCCCAACTTCCTGCCAAGGCTCCACTTCTCATCCAGTGCAGGGTCCCCAACTCTCTGGGCTGCCCGGAGAACTCCCTGCTGCTGCCCCTTCCCCAAGCATTTTCCAGCTGGAGCGGTGGTGGAAGCCAGCTCCATGGTGCTTCCTCACCCTGTGATTGGCAGGCAGTTCTGTCTGGGTTTCCAATGAGATAGAATGGCAGGGCCAGGCACTGAGGGTGGATTCTTGGGTGCTGCTATCGCGATTGGAGCTGGCAGGATGAAGCAGGGCCCCGGAAAACTGGGTGGGCACCCCGTGGTCAACGGCTGCAGCCCCCAAAAGAATGGCAGCGTGAAAAATGGCTTCCCTGGCCCTGTCTGCTGCATGGGTGACATGGCTCCCCTTCCATGAGCAGTTCCCAGAGCTTCAGGTCGCCTCTCTCTCCTTGCCCCATGCTGGACTTGGAGAACCACCCTGGGACCGGGAATGGCTTCCAGGGTGCATCAGTGCTTGCTTGCCTGCCCCCTCACCCTGTTGCTACACGTCCTGCTACCCCTCCGCAGCTGGCCAGCTTGAGTCTCATGTACCCTTCCCTCCAACCCCCTTTCCTGGCAGCAGATGTCCGTCTCAGCATGCTTGAGTTGCAGGGAAGTGCAGGAGCGGGGCTGCTTGCTGGGTGTGTGTGTGCAGGGGTACCTCCTGACTTATTTAAATGCCCCCTGAATTAAAAAAAAATCCTGGCTATGGGCCTGACTGGGGTTACAGGCTATTCCAGTTAGGGCAAGCTGAATATACCAGGGCATTTAACCAAACTAACAGAGACTCCTGTCTTTCTCACAGGTGTATGTCACAGACTAAGGATTACACCCATGACCAGATTCTAGGGCTGCCAATGTCCAGGTGGGGCCTAAAGTCATCCTGTCTTTATAGTTGACCTCCAGGCTACAGAAATCAGATTCCCCAGAGGAAATGGCAGCTTTGAAGGATGGACTCTATGGCATCACATCCCCACAGAGCTCCCTCCCCTTCTTCAATTATTGCTTTCCCCAGGTGCTGCCCCCAAATCTCCAGGAATCTCCCAAAATGGAATTGGAGACCCTACCTGAACTATATCTATGCTACCAAGAGGCCTAAAAATAAATGCCAATAATTCCAGTACAGCATAGTTTAATTAAGCCATGCTGTCTCACTCCAAAACACTAAAACCCCTTCTCTTCTCAAAAATATTGAACTAAACCCTCTGGTTCAAGTCACATGTGCAATTCCACTACAGGCAATATAATTTCACCACCTGTCAAATTTAAACCCGTATTTTTACCAATGAAAATGCAAGCTGAAAACAGGCTTTTGGTTTGTGAAACTAAAGCAAGGGGGTAGGGGGAAGGACATACCTTGAAGTTGCAATTTCCACTTTGGTTCTGGCCATGGTAGCCGCACGTTGGGCACCTTCTAATGCTCGCTCCACTTTCTCTTTAGTCTTTGTGTTCCTTATCGGTATTAGCTGCTTCCTTATTCCACGGACCAAAATGTTGTTTTTATACTTCCCCTCTTCCTTGGTGCCATCTGGGAACATGGTACATCCATATCCATGTCTCTTATTATTTAGCCACTCCCCTTCATATTTCATACCATTTGAGCGCTCACTAATACCAAAGCCACTACGTTTGTCATTCTTCCACTCTCCCATGTATGTTTCTGTTGTGGTAGCATCAACATGGTCTTCCACTGGACAATAATCACAGTCCCCATCCCCGAAACTAATGGTAGAATTGGCATCGCTAGAACTAATTCTGCTCATAGCAGCATCACTCCTGACAGAGCTACGTTTGCTAGAAATAGATGATTTTGATTCTGATTTTCTAAGTTTTATGCTACCGAGAAGGGATCCTCTTCTGAACAAGCCTCCTTTTTTCTTACCACCAATACTTTCCGTATCACTGTGAAAATTCAAGACAAACCCTCCTCTTGTACCAGCTGGACTGTCCGAGGTAATGTCATGTAAAACAGTGCCATTGCTCTGCTCACTACGGAGCGAAGCCAGAGATGTCCGGAGGGGTGAACGAATCACAGTTGCCATGCCGTATGGAACACTCTGCCGCATACCATAACCATGTCTCATCCCTCCTGTCCACTGTCCCTGGTATGTACCTTTTAAAGGAAATAAAGAGCAAAGGAATTTAATAAACACTTAATTTTTTTTCATGTAAGTATAACTCAACAGTGCTGATTATTTAACTCCAATGTTTTCCCCCTAAAGTATATGAACAGTCTGAAATAGCTAGCCACCACCCAAGAATTTTAAGTAGACATGAGTAAGAATACTAATATTATTGATATTACTCTCACATAATCCCACAAGAACAGTTTACTATATAACAGGATCTGCTGATCAAAGTAAAAAATCCACTGTTACAAGCTTGGCCAATCTTTTTGGTAAGTGTACCACAAACCAAGCCTAAATCATGACACAGTGCAAACACACTGGGCCTTGAGACAGCATTATCTCTAGTTCACTGAAATGGGAAGCAGGAAGCAAGGCAAAACTGGGTGGGTAGAAAGGACAGTACGGCAGAATTTATATCATAAGCAAACTCCTTTTCTTGTCCAGGGATACTACAAATCCATGATTCTACTTGTGGTTTCTGCACTACAGGTTAGCTCTAAGCCACTGAGTATTAGCATATCTGGATGCTGACCAGTGAAAATGGTGAAACAGGGCTTTAATACTATCGTAAATCAGATCTTTGCAAAGTTAGTGGCTATTAAGACATCATATATGGGAATGCCTCAGTTTACCCTCGAACACCATAATATGAGTTAGTCAGAAATAGAGTTTTGGGGTTGACCTGGGATTTGGGTGCTGAACAGGGTGCTTGGGTGCTAAGCAGGATTGGCAACAAGCCTGTACTTGCATGAAGCACCACCAAGGAAAATTGGGTTGTGATGCGGAGGAAGACAATGCTAAACCACTTCTGCTTATCTCTTGCTTGAACAACCCATGGTCGGGGTCACTATGAGTTAGTTGTTACTCGATGGCACATTCTTCTTGTTGCTTTTAAACCCAATGCTATCAATCAGTTTTTTTAAAAAATAAACCACCTTCTGGGACAAGGTTTTGAGGCATCCACTTCTTTCAATGGGACAAATTAGCAACGAATGTTCCCTAGGTTTCAGTGGGACATGGGCATGGCTAACCTCTAGAGGACTGGAACTAACATATGTGTATAAAAGTGCTGAAGGATCAATGAAGCCTTTTTCGTGGCTATATGGAGTATCCCTAAAAATGCCTTGTCCTACATTTTTACATAAGGAAATCCATTTCAGTGTGCGGTTTAAAGATTTGGCAGTAATACAGAGCTAAGTTTATAAATTTCAAGGGTAAAAAAAAATACTTACCAGTATTTTACTGTCAGGTATTGCTGAAATCAAGTTAGATTTCAGGTTAGTCATTCTGATCTTCTGTATGTTCACTTGGAAGTTAGTCCTATGTACACTTGGAAAAAAATCCAACCATAATCAGTGGGATTAACTTTCAAGTAAACGTGCAGAGGATTAGGGCTATGCAGCTGCAATCTTAAACAGTGTTTCCTATAAGTAATTCCAGGTGGTCAGCCGTGTTGGCCTGAAGAAGAAGAACACATTTAGAGTCCAGTGGCACCTTTAAGACCAACAAAGGTTTATTCAAAGTATGAGCTTTTGTGTGCATGCACACTTTGTCAAATACATTGGAAAGGAAGCTAGATTTCAAATTTATAGATACGGGCTGAACAGCAATGTATTCTAATTGCCATAAACATACCACAAGTAAACTATTCTGATATTCTTGCAGTACAAGCCTTTCACATCTTGGTATTCAGTACTTGGAAGCCCATTTCATCTACTACCTCATACTGGCAACTGATGAGTGGTTCACTTTTCAGTTGGCACTGTAAACAATTTACTCCAAGACAAATTGCACCTTCATTCACCTCTATGTTTTTGAAAGTTATAGTGAAATCAGTGAGATTTCCTAAATACTGGGTCTATAAACATCAGTGTGAATACTACAACAAGATTTCTGTATGAATTCACCAACAGAGATGACAGAATTCCAATAATCCTACATAGTTCCAGAAAGGTAAAACTTATAAATAGTCCTATTAGCTTGCCAAAAACAGTGGTGGTTTTGAAACTACAGAACCCTCACAATTTATTCTGAAAAATACTTTGAGCTCATTGCCTTTTGGAATAAACTAAAAGCTAGCTCAGTGTGTTTTCAAAAGATACATAAGCAGCTAGCACATCCCTATCATTTAATGTAAAGTGTCTCCAAGCAGATAAGAGGGAGGGACCAAGAGTTCATTTCTCAATCTCAATATGGCACAGTAGAGATTACATCCCCTTTATTAAGGTTTTTAATCACACAGTCACATGATCAGGTGGTAACTTGATGGCCTTTTGCCGATCTTGTTGATGATACCCACTTTCAGGAAAAATGGGTATTCTAATTCACTTTAGGGAATGAACCTGCTTCCACACCTTTACCAAGTAAAGGCTAAGGAGCACAAAAGACCATATCGATGTGCCCCAAAAAACCTGGGCAAGGAAAACAGCAAAACGTATTACAGTTGCTCATCAACTCCTACAGTCCTCTGTTTCAATCCCAGAAGTAGGAGAGTAACAGCCAAGAGTATCAGCCGCACCACCCCTTGGTTTGAGGTTACCAAGAGCTAAGGAGCCCACAGCTACCGGGGGGGGGGGGGCTGAATATTTATGGAGAAGGAAGAAAGCTGCCCCCTTGATCAGTCCTAAGAGGAAAAGAGTGTGTGTCCTTTCGCGCGTTTCAAAAAGGCACCTAGCAATTAATAAGCAGAAGGCGGGTGACGGGTCCCAGATGCTCAAAGGCTAAGTGGCCACAGGTATCACCCATCCCTGTGTTTCACAAACTGCGTGCATCTGTCTGGGCGCGTCAAAAGTGAACAGACTCTGGCGGAAAATACAAACGCAACCTGAAGCGGCTCTGTGCGCACCCCCCTCCCACTTGCGCCCGCACGTGTGAAAGAGCCGGGAACTGTGCACGCCCCCTTGTGCGCCAACGCCAGGCGCCCTCCAGCGGCCACTCCCTGGCTCCTCCCTCACCTCCGTCCCCGTAGGTCTCGACGCCGTAGCCGTCCTGCAGCCCATTGCTCCAGGTGCCCTCGTAGCGGGCAGGGGTGGTGAGGCTCTGGCGCACGCCGTACCGGCCCTTGAAGCCGTGCGACCACTCGCCCCGGTACATCCATTTGCCTTTCGTCTCCACGCCCAGCCCGTGGCGCTTGCCCTGCGCCCAGTAGCCGTGGTAGGTGTTGCCGCTGGGCCAAGTGTAGGTGCCCACCACCTCGAAGCCGTGCGCCCACGAGCCCGCGTACTCGCCCTGCCCTTTGGGCCCGGTGCAAATGCCATGGCCGTGGGCTTTGCCGTCCTCCCAGCCGCCGCAGTAGGTGCCGCCATCGTCGAAGTCGAACCTGCCGCCCGTCATTCAGGGGGAGCGGGGCGCGCCCGGGCCGAGCTCGGCTCCTCCGCCGCCTCTGGCTTCTGCGACTCGGGCTCGGGGCGCGACGCTGCGTCCTCCGCCAAGGCGCCCAAGACGAATGCCAAGGCTCAGACCCAGGCAGCGATCCTCGGCGCCGGCGCCCGCCCCCAGCGCCGTTCCGTTCCGCTCCACCCCTCCGCCTGCCCCGCCGTCCCCTCCTTCCACACCCAAGCCCCGGTCACACCCCGGGGGAAGGAGAGGAAATTGCGGGGAGGGGGTGAGGCGGAGCCCGGGGGAGGGTGTCGTCCTTGCCTCAGTTTGGGCGAAGGTGTGAGTGCGGGGCGTGAAGAGAGGGAGGGAGTTTTTGCGGGAGCTGCGATTCCTGGGAGCAGTGTTCCCTCTCGGGTGAGCCTGCTCACAGTTTTTTAGTCTCTGGCTCACACATTTTTGTCTTCGCTCAGGAAAGATGGCTCCAGAGCAAACTAATTTATGCAGCAGCCAATCGCCCGCTCACAACTTTAAATGCCAGTAGCTCACAAAGAGCTCAGAGGCAGCATTGCTTGTGAGGAGTAAGGAAGTATGTTTGGGCAGGGCTTAAAGGTGGGTTCGTGCTCACCACGGGAAAGTTGTGGATTCTGTCGCAGACTTGCTTTGCCAGGCTTGGCTAGAAACAGCTGTGGACCATATATGATAATAAAGATGGCGTTTTTCGTGAGCATGAACAGAGTGCATTTCCCTCACCCTTGTCTCTCTACAGCTGGCAGACACTTCGAGGTTTCAATACACAGGATCCACTGCCAGCTGTCTGGTCTACCTGTGAAGCCGAATGAGTCTAAAGAATGAACTGTTTTACTTCAGGTGATGGATGCGGATTTTAACTAAGTTGCCAACCAGCAAGAGGGAGGGGCAATTGAATTGTTTAATGGCATAAAGCTAAATGACATCCCTGATAAAGTGCTGCATCTGAAACTGGTGTTAAAGAGACAGAGGGACCAGTTAAAAAGCTGACAGCCATGTTTTTGAACATTCTTCCTGTGTAGTTATTTTTTTTAAAGGCACTCTCCCTACACCTAGTAGGAGACAGAGCAGGCAAGTTGAAAATTAGCACTGCAGAAGACTGGCTGAACTCCCCCCTCCCAGCCCTGTTAGTTTACTACTTGCAAGAAGTTCTTTTTTTATGTTGTAGTGCTTTTAAAAAAGCAAACAGTACTTGCAGTATGAAATGACACTGGCCATTCTAGCAGTTCATTTTATTAAATGTGTAGACTGAAGGGCATTCATCTGTTCCAGAACTAGAATTGGCCCTCCCTGGTGATGTTCTCAGTCTGTCAGTGGCTGCATGACAGTCAGGAATTTCATCTGATGAGACTTCTTCCATTATGGATATACAGGGATGAGGTGATGTATACTGTAAGATGTTTTAAAAGATGTATAAGCGCCCCCCCCCCCGTTGGTACAAAAATGACAAAAAAGCTGATAATGCTATTGTGAGGTTTATCTTAGGCAAAGCCAGCTTTTAATGTTATCCGACCCAACAGAAGACCTTTAAATTAAGCCCCTGTCCTAATGTCCCTACCTTCTGAAGTATGGTGGGTGAATATGAAGGACATTTTCCATGGTGGTGCTTCATTTATGGCACTCCCTCAGAGTGGAGGTTCACCAGGTTGCTAGGGTTGCCAGCTCTGAGTTTGGGAATTCCTGGAAATTTGGATGGTGGAGCCTGAGGATGGTGGGGTTTGGGGAGGGGAAGGGGCTCAGTGGGGTATATTGCCGTACACCCTACCTTCCGAAGCTGCCATTTTCTCCAGGGGAACAGGTCTCTGTTGTCTGGAGATCAGTTGTAATTCTGAGGAATTTCCAGACCCCACCAGGAGATTGCAGAACAAAGAGAGAGATCACGGGATGGAAGTTTGGAAAGAAGTAAACAGCAGTGATGCATTATGCCAAAAAAGTCTCCAAAGACCAGAAATTTATTTTTCAAATATTTCAGTTTACTGAAAGAAATTCAAATGCCATCAACACAATGGATCGTGCATATTATCTCGTTTCGTGTATAACTTTTTCAAGGTAAGTAGCATTGAAATACAATATTAATCCATTTGACAAACTCTCTAGTAGTATCTCATCAAAAAACTCATCAAAAAACCAGACAATCACACAAATTCCAAACAGACATTACAGTAAACAGCCACATCAATATGCAGCAACAAAGTCCTAATAAACATTCAAAATGGAATCTGCAATAAGAAGGCATGCTAAAAATAAAAACAGAAAATGGGATGCTCAAAACAACTTCTGAAAACAATAAGAATAAAGATACTGCCATGTGAAACAATGAGAAAAGAGCAAAGCACCATTCAACTCTGTAATACTTCCTTCCAAGTAAACATGTGTAAGATTGGGCTGTACATCAGAGCACTAGCAGAGGGAAAAGGATTAGCTTGAGAACAATAGAAAGGTACAATGGAGGCAGTGGGATACCAAAAGGGAAGAGGGGGGAGATACATTTGATAGGCAATGGGGGGGGGGGAACTGGAATAAAGCTGGAGTAAAAAACTACAGGAAGGGGAAACAATGGGATGATATGCAGGTTGCCATGGGAACGAAAGGCTTGAGCATTTAGTGGGATGGCAGTGTCACTATGACAGTCCTGTCCACTTCTCTCCCTCAGAGGCAATATTTTTCCTCTGTTTTTCTTTCCTTTATTGACTGAGCTGCCCCAGTAATGTGTTTTCTTTTTTGCTGAAGAACTCTGGCTGTCCCACCCTGTCACAGTACCATATTTTGGCTGTTGGCTCAGCCCAGGAACCTGAGGGAAGGATTAAGAGCCCCCTTTAATTTCAACAGTTTCAATGGCACTTAAGGCATTATGAAATTCAAAAAATAACAAAATAATTTATTTAACATAGAGGGGAAAGGTCAGTTGAAATCAGAGGTTGAAATTTCTGAGGTAAAACTAGTATATGCACAGACTTTAGTTTTTATGCTTCAGGCTAATGAGAATTTCTTACGCTTTTCACAGTGACGTGAATCTTTGGGTGCGTTCAGACGGGGGGTTTACAACGGTTAGGGTGCCGGTTCCAACCGGTGTACTTACGGGCGTTCACACGGCGAACATCTGCCTCCCGTCCCTAACCGTTGTAAATCCCTTTAAACCATTGCACTCTGCCACTAGGTCCCAAGTGGTGATAAACTGAGTGCAACGGTTGAAAACGGTGCACCCCGGCGTCTGATCGCTCTCCAACGTTACAGAGCCACTTCCGTTTGGAAGCCCGAGGCTTCCGCTTTCCCCCCGCCATTTTTTAAAAAAACAGAGCGATATGCGCTTGGGCGAAGCTTCGCCCCGGTGTTTGTTTTAAAAGAAAAAGAAAAGGCCCTTAAGTTGAACGTTTAGGAGGAGTCCGGGACTTCAGGGAGGCCAGTTTGGGGACTCAGCCCAAAGCGGGTGATGCAGGGCGAGTTAGGACCATCCCCTGATTCAAGAGAGGAGAGATCCAATCAGCAGGGGGGGGGGACGGACTCCGGGACACCCACCCAGTGCAGGATTACTCCTGAGGAGCCCCACCGAACCGCAGAGGGCATCTGGAGGCAGCCGGGCTGGAGTGGGAAAGAGGACGGGGAGCGCTTTGGTGTGTTTTCAGCACTGCGGGGGTTAAAGCAACGGAGCTGTTTGCTGGAGAGGCCGAGCGATCGGGGTGGGGTGGGGGCGGAGAAAAGGCTCTTCCGCTTGGCCGGGCCGGGAAGATTCTGAATGGACAGAGAGAGGAAGCGCTTTAGAAGTGCAGCTGCAGGGAAAAGTCTTGCAGTCGGATCCAGGGAAGGGTTACTTGCGAGTAAGTCATGCACGGAGGGGGGGGATGAGGCCTTTGGTCATGGAAGAAGAGAGCAACACGGCTGCCGGCATCAGGGTTTTCTCCTCTGTAAATGAGGGCTTTGGTGTGTGTGTGTTTAAACTTTACCTTTAAACTTTAAATGTAATATGGGGTGTTTTCAGCATTCGCAAAGATCGCCATTCTGTGGATGGCTACCTATGCGCATGCTCACTGGGGTTTTTTTTTTTAAAAAAAAACAAACGCCGATGCCTGCTGTGTGTGAACGGGCATACAGCGATGGGATCCGCAGAATGGAGGTGAGTGTGATCGCATTTCAGCCGGCATAAACTGCACCGGTTCCAACCGGTACAGTTTATGTCGGCTGAAATCCTTCTCTTGAAATGCCAGTATTCGTCTTGAGTACTCATCTCTTGAAACGCCAGTATTCCAGAGTCGTCTTAACTGACTCTTAAGGGCCAATTTTCCACAAGCAGCTGCCCTGCCCTCGCTCTTCTCTTCCCCCAATTGTATTTGTCAGTTTCCCACTACTTGCTGCGTGGTTGCATTTTGAACTGCAGCATCCCCCAGTTTTCTTCGCATCTTCTCAATCTCAGAAAACAAGGATCTAGAAGATGCGGGGAAAATCAGGGGATGCTGCGGGTCAAAATGTGGCTGTGCAGCAAGTAGTGGGAAGTTGACAAATACAATCGGGGGGAAAGGAAGCGTGAGGGCAGCCCAGTTGCTTGTGGAAAATCGGTCCTGGTCCCTAAAGGCAGTTTCTAACCACACCAGACCAGGGAACTCTGCACTCTTTAGAGCGAACTCACTGTTTGACTGGGTAGGGAATGTTCTTCTCTGTCTAGAACAGGAATGACCAAACTGTCGCTCGGGAGCCAAATGTGGCTTTTTCACACACATTGTGTGGCTCCCAGCAGGGTGACTGGGGAAGTGAAGGGGAAGCATGCCTCCCCAATCGGTCTTCCCTTCCCCAATCAGTGTTCTCCTCCCTGGGGAGGCTTGAGGTGGGGGGGAGCAGAGAAAGAAAGCAACTTTAACTTTAAATGCATTTTCAAAGCCCCCCCCCGGCCGGCTTGAAGAAGGTATTTGTCTCTTTAAGTCTCTTTGCCAAGCCAGCCGACGGGGGAGGGGCTTGGAGAATACATTTAAAATTAAAGTTGCTTTCTTTCTACCCCTCCCCCCCCCCCATCTAAACTTAAATGTGTTCTCCAAGCCCTGCCACGCTGGCTGGCTTGGCTTGGAGAAGTGGCATTTGTCTCTTTAAATCCCTTCTCCAAGCCAAGCTGGCTGGTTTGGGGGCATGGAGGGGATTGAAGAACACATTTCAAATTAAAGTTGCTTTCCTTCCACTTCTCCCTCCCTGCC